AAGTAGGCCCTACCAGTAACAACTGAATGAATTTGAAGTTTATCAACAAAGAAGTTTGGCAACCGTGCATGAGGAAAGTCAGGAGAAACGTCGCAGTGCGCCACGTTAGGGAACACCACTATATGTGTGCATTGATACTGGGTTCTTAATTGGGGTAGGTGCGGTGAACTAAAAACAATAGGCCCTGGCCCTGCTGACTATATGACTATACAATCATGGAGCTATAAAAAGAGGTCTTACCCAACAATGTATGCAAATTCAAAAATACTCGGGAAAGACTCCCATACCTCAGACGTCACTGACCAACAAAGACTAGGAAATGTCCTTTGACATGTTTTCTCAGTAGGCATGCCATGGTAGCAAGCAACTTTCCCCTGCTAAATCCAACATTTTTTTGACATATTATCCCTTTTTATGGTGATATAGGTCACTGTAGGGAAAAATTAGTGATGTCCAGATAAATGGGAATCTTTCCAGTACGCCGAAAAGAAGTTGAATTTTGAGAAATAAATAGTCCAGACTTACCTGACGTGCAGGCCTATATAGCCTACCGCTGCATTATCTGCTGCATAATGTTGATCGATAACCAAACAACAGGTGGCGCTCGATCTTTACAATTAACGGTGTCAGGTACAATCTCATTCAAGTGATCTTGAGCGATACGTGTTGCCATGGTGATACGTCATCACTGTGCTCTGCATCCTGTATGTGCTCCACACTTGACATCCTTGGTAGAACCTTCAAACTCTGTCAACTTCAAGAAACAAAGCAAAACAAGTTATTTTAACATCTTTACCTTCTAATTCATAAGGTTTAGTTCAAATATTGTTTTCATCTGCTATTTTTGGAAAGGGCATTGTTTGAAGAATTTGGTTGACAATAATTACTGTGAAATTTGAGAACAATTTCCCAAAAAACTGACAAATTTACAAAAGATAAAAATGGGGCCTGTAGGGCCTGACCATACTTCCTGAACTTAGTTTAAAACCCTTACACTTACAGTTCTGAAAGAATGACTATACAATCATGGAGCTACAAAAAGAAAGTCTCACAATGTATGCAATTAAAGCATTAATAACCCCCTAGGCCCTTTTTGCTTAAAACCATCCTCAATCCTCCAAAATTTTGCAACTCCGCCCAAATTTTTCAAAATTGTCAGACAGTCCTGCCTCAAACTGCATTCATCGTCAATCCTCCAAAATCCTCCTCATCCCAAAATTTTGCACTCATGTTTAAATGAAGGATAACCAATGCCAAATCCTTCAAAATCATCAGACAGTCCTGCCACAAAATGCATTTATTCTCAATCCTCAAAAATCCTCATTTGATTCAATCACCATTCATCCTCAATCCTCCAGAATCCTCATGTGATTCAATCACCATTCAATCCTCAGTCCTCCAGAATCCTCATGAGCTTCAATCACCATTTATCCTCAATCCTCCAGAATCCTCATGTGCTTCAATCACCATTCATCCTCAATCCTCTAGAATCCTCATGTGCTTCAATCACCATTCATCCTCAATCCTCCAGAATCCTCATGCGCTTCAATCACCATTCATCCTCAATCCTCTAGAATCCTCATGTGCTTCAATGACCATTCATCCTCAATCCTCCAGAATCCTCATGTGCTTCAATCATCATTCATCCTCAATTCCAGAATCCTTCTATGCTTCAATCACCATTCATCCTCAATCCTCTAGAATCCTCATGTGCTTCAATCACCGTCCATTCATCCTCAATCCTCCAAAATCCTCATGTGCTTCAATCACCATTCATCCTGAATCCTCCAGAATCCTCATGTGATTCAATCACCATTCATCCTCAATCCTCCAGAATCCTCATTTGATTCAATCACCATTCATCCTCAATCCTCTAGAATCCTCATGTGCTTCGATCACCATTCATCCTCAATATCCTCCAGAATCCTCATTTGATTCAATCACCATTCATCCTCAATCCTCTAGAATCCTCCAAAACCACCAGAAGGATTGTGGAGGAGCGAGGTGGGTTAGGGTTAAAAAATACTCCGGAAAGATTCCATACCTGGAGTTCTGGACATTAAGTGAAATGTCCTTGGTATTTTTTCAGACAGTAGGATGCTGGCAGTGGCAGTAAGCATGTAGGATGGAACGCCGTATTATCGCGGTACTTATCATGTGATCTTGTTTGGAATGGAGATTGCCCGCTAACCTTCCCAAATTGTCCTGTCTCTTAGGTTGTATAACTCTTCCTTTTCAAATGCCTGTGAAAATAGACATGCTCGGAATGTGCGAATGGAGGTGGACTCCCTATTATCGCGGTATGTGGGAATTGTGGTTTTTATAATAATCTCAACTTTTTTTTTTCATAGTGAATGTTTTACCAAAACATCCCCTGAATAAAGTCTGATATTTTCCCTGTAACGTTCAAGTTGATTAAACTTTGAAAGACTATATATCCCTGCAGGATGATTTCTTAAAACCCTGCCCTTCCCCGAAAGGAGAAGAAAATTACTGTGACAAATCTATCTACTGATTGGTGATTGGGGGCGCCATTGAGTTTACACGGTGTGCTGTTTTATTTTTTTATGTGCTGTCCTTATTTTGATCCCACGACTCCACGATCGATTTTCGGAGGTAGATCGACTGCGGCAATCGATTTTCGGAGGTAGGTCGACTGCGGCTCCACACCTCCACGCAGCCGTACGGAGGCGCGGATGTAGAGTAAAGTGGCCCTGCATTCTATAGTTGTACCCCTGAATCTTTTGGGAACCAGACTAAAAATAAATAGGGACTAAGATGTTTATTTTTTATCAGCCAATCAGCATCGAGCTTTCATCGCAGCGAGCTTTCACATTTGCCTTCTTGGTTTTTGAGTCTGTTTTCTGGTTGTCATTGTCGTCTTTTACCCCTGAATTTCCCTCATAAATCAAAGCCCTGCCCTCTTTCCACAAAATTAAACCTGCTCATATTCAAGAAGGTGTCATTGCCAATTGTTCAGATGTGCCAAGAAATATCAGAATGTCAATTTTGAGTGTCATTTAGTCAACTGTTTTGGTGAGTCTTTCCCTTCCTATATAGGAACGGGGTCCTAAAAGTAAGGATTACCGCGATGGTAACTAAAGTAAGGACTCCGACTATAGTTTTTTGGTAACAAATTTCCCTGCTAAATCCAATATTTTTGGACGTTTTAAACAGGAATGGTGGCATAAATCACTGAAGGGAAAATTGAGTAATGTCCAGATATGGGAATCTTTCCAGTACGCCGAAAGGAAGTTGAATTTTGACAAGTAAAATAGTCCAGACTTACCTGATGTACAGGCCTAGCCTACCGCTACATTATCCCATACGCGGTCATACTAAACAGCGTCAACACAGCGTCAACACACTCCAAAGCGTCAACACAGCGTCAACACAGCGTCAACACATCCAAAATGCATTAAAATTGACAAAAGCAGTATGTAACCCATACAGTATGGACAGAAACAAGATTTGTGCTTAAAATCAATAGGTTAAACGTCTGAAAATCGCGATTTTTAGTTCAAGAAAATTGGCTCTCCGTGCCGCTCCGAAATCGGCTGCCGAACACCCGCCATGTTGCCTCAGTGGCAGCGTGGACCATACCATTATTCTAAAGGGTGATAGCGTTGTACAATAAACCAACAGAGAGGGACGCGGCCGGGGTCGCCAGTGTTAAAAATATCTGCAAAGACCAAAACATAAACACAACTCACAAAATAATGATCTACCACTCCTCCGATCCTTAGTCCTCACACAGATCTGGTATCCCTCTGTCTAGTCTGCAGCAAGGCGCCCTCTGTTGTTTATGACAAGATAATGTCATTACCTACACACCCCTACTTGAAATGGTGTAGTCCAAGCTTTGTGCGAAGTCAAGATGGCGGACAACGGCCGTGCAAGTTAAGGTCATTTTTTTCGCGTGAAAATACGATATTTTTAACAACGAAATGGAAACTCAATCCAATGGAAATTCTCTTTTATTGTATGTTTCACAATTATATGCCCTTTTTGTCAATTCAGAATGTGTTTTGGATGTGTTGACGGTGTGTTGACGCTTCTGTCATGTGTTGACGCTGTGTTGACGCTGTGTTGACGCTGTTTAGTGCGACCCTCCATACGTGCCATAATGTTGATGTCGGATAACCAAACGACAGGTGGCGCTCTTCACAATTAACGGTGTCAAATACAATCTCGTTTACGTAGTGTTGAGCGGTACGCACTGACAGGTACTTAATACAGGAAAGAAAGTTACAAAATAAAGTTATCCCTGGGGACGAAGTTTCGAAAAAGTTTCTAAATCCGAATTTTCCCATCATGCATTGAGAAATCCAAATTCCTTTCTCGATAGGATTTGGGAAGTGGGGAATCGTTTATTCGTTGTCCGTTTTGCTTTCGAGTCGGGAAGTGGGAATCGTTATTCGTTATCTACGAAAGCCCATTAGCGCCACTGCAAGTATATATGTTGCGGATTATTTAATTCGTTATTACGGATTACTAATTCGTTATTACGGATTACTAATTCGTTATAACGGATTATTTAATTCGTTATTACGGATTATTAATTCGTTATTACGGATTATTAATTCGTTATAACGGATTATTAATTCGTTATTACGGATTATTAATTCGTTATAACGGATTATTAATTCGTTATAACGGATTATTAATTCGTTATTACGGATTATTTAATTCGTTATTACGGATTATTAATTCGTTATAACGGATTACTAATTCGTTATAACGGATTATTTAATTCGTTATTACGGATTATTAATTCGTTATTACGGATTATTAATTCGTTATAACGGATTATTTAATTCGTTATTACGGATTATTAATTCGTTATTACGGATTACTAATTCGTTATAACGGATTATTTAATTCGTTATTACGGATTATTAATTCGTTATTACGGATTATTAATTCGTTATAACGGATTATTAATTCGTTATTACGGATTATTTAATTCGTTATTACGGATTACTAATTCGTTATAACGGATTATTTAATTCGTTATTACGGATTATTCTCACACGTGATCGAGCACGTGATCAGGGGCCTATTATAGCGCCACTAGGTGGCGCTATCTTTGCATACAACGTTTGCTTTTAAGTTTTAACCGGCACCGTGCTGAACCCCCTCCCGTTTTTCAAGACAAACCGCTACGTGACCGTTGAAGAAGGTATTGTTAAGGTAAATTTCTGATTGGCTTTCCACCCTTCGTCACCCTGTTTGCACATTTTTGCTCTTTTGATGGCGATTACATGTGAAGACACAACTGGAATTTTTCGTCATTTATTAGAATGTTAGGGCCTATATCCTCGAGTCATCATAATTGGCGCTATAATAGGCCCCTGATGCAAGTGCGTCAAAACATATCCTCGTCGGTTTAGGTGGACTGACGATATATGAAGCCATAAAGAGGAACTGCTGCACACCCCGGCCCACTAATTCCCTGGGCATAACAATTAGGCAGTGTATATTTTGCCGGAGACGGCAAACCTTTAGTAAACGTTAGTTTGCCGGATATGCACTGAACATGCGCAGTTGATGTTTTTTTGTACTCTAACTTTTTCCGGTTATAAGTTTTAGTCTGGTTCCATGCCAAAATTATCGTTGTTACCTCGTATTCACAAGATGGGATTCAGACCGTTTTATAATTTCGGACTTTATTTCCCTTTTAAAAAAAATCCTCCAGAGCCACAAATCTGACAAAGAAAATGTAATACTCTGCAAAAAATGTTTGAGACATGTTAAAATAATAAAAGAAGAATATTCTTATTTATCCTCCCGCTTACTAGAGCCGTTGCTTAACCACTACACCAAACGTGCTACACGACTACTGGTGGGAATTTTAATACATCTTATAATTCAGCCCTATTTTAAAGAGTACAGCGCCCTCTGTTGATATGGATTGCCGCGGGCAAACCTTTAGTAATCGTTAGTTTGCCGTCATTACCTCAGGCAAAATATCCACATCTAACAATTATCATATCAAAGATGGTCACTGAATTTGTAATGATTGTTTATGCTTTATAATTTTCTAATCTGACAGAAGAAACAAAATGGCAACTCCCAACCTTTATGAATTCTTGGAGTCACGAGGAGTGGGACCTGATATCATAGACAGAATGAAGACAGAAAAGGTGAGAATTCTCATTATGATTTCAAAAACAATGTTTGTATTTTTCAAAGTTGGTTTTGCTTTTTTTATCTGTTTTATTTACATGATGTCTGCAAAGGGTAACTGCTAAAATTGAGTCAGTTTTGGTTGTTTCATTGCCTGCAGAACCTACAAAGTGAAAAGTTGTTGACTTTGGTTGAATAAGTTCATCAGGTCATGTGTGAGTTCATTGTTTAGTGCAACGGTGTAGAAATATTTCTCACTATTGATTAATACATCATGTGACCCCGTGATCCCTGATAATCTGTTGGCCAAGTGTGTTATCAGCAGGCCCAGATCCAGGGGGGGGGGTGTTAAAAAAAAACAGCTCTCCCCCATAGAAATTCCTGGGGAAAAAATCGAAAACCCCCCCCCCCCCCCCCTCTCCGACACCTAAAATTCTTTTGCTAGTAATAATGTCTGCCTTGCACGAAATACGTCCTGAGCCAGCTTGGTTAGGGGGTATATGTACATTATTCTGTGATGAACAGCGCCCCCATTGAAAGTATGCTACGAGCCCCCCCCCCCCCCCCCCCCTTTTTTTTTATTTACGGAGTGCCAAGTGCCCGGAGAAAAAAACACGTGTCTACATTTCAGAATTTTTTGCCGATAAAAAAACCACCCTGCGAAAATTCCTGGATCTGCCCCTGGTCAGTTTGTCAGACATATCTTTCCAAAGTTTTAGTGACACTATTGAAATTCTTGAACACATATCAACTAATTTTACTTTTGTGACCATTATGTTTTAGATTGATGCAGCTGTTGTTGTTATGATGGAAGACACTGCATTGGCAGACTTCATCCCGTTACTAGGAGACCGAATCGCAGTGCGGAGTTTCTGTACTAAACCCCCACAAGCGCCCACTGATAAGCACCCAAGGAAACAAGCACTGTTGCAGAAACTGCGGAAAAAGTTGAGACTTAGAAGAAATGAAGGAGAATCTGGCAGTGATGAAAATGAAGAGAGTTCATCAGGAGCTAGCTCTAGCCACAGCTGCAAGTCATCTCTGCTGAAAGGCAACAGAAATGCCACAAGTGACAAGAGAAAGATAGACATTGGCTGGCTGGACTTTGACTGTACATCACAAACCTACAAACAAGTTCGGAAACAGAAAGGTGGGGGTACAAGACAGCTATCTGTGCTGAAAACGACCGGGCGGGCTGAGTTATTGGATCTTGCTCAAGGTTTGTTTTTTAAAGATGGAGTGTCATCTAAAGGTGACCAGTCCAATTATGAATTTGATATTTGCGACTTTCGGCAGAAATCAATGTGTGATGAATTCACAGTCGGCCAGCTGTATGAAGAATCCAAAATGCCAATTTTGAGGTTTTACCTAAGGACAAAAGAAAAGATCGAACCCCTTGAAAGTGCAAATGAAAACTCCAACCATAACAAAAAAAAGGCAATTATCATTGAGTCGTCTGACTCAGGCGAAGAGCAAGCCATGCCCTTGCCTTTTGAGAATGTAGGTAATGAAGTTGAAATTGGACAGGAATGTTCAAGCCCAACTTCTCAATTTGACAATGAAGCTCCTCGCTCACCCAGTCCTCCCCCAGACACTCCTACAATCACATTTGGACCAACACATACCCCAGATACTCAGAATCAGCTAGATGATACTATCCCCTTGCCACAAACAGAGGTTCTTCTGATCAGAAGGGGAGCAGTTGTGCGAGACATGATCAACTCATTTTCGAATCCTGGTATTATGGATGCAAACATTTCTGTGCATATGATACTTCCTAGTGGGCAGATGGAGGCGGGCCTGGGTAGTGGGGTTTACAAGGATGCAGTCACTCAATTCTGGCAGGAATTTTACGAAGAGATGACCACCGGGGACACTTACAAAGTACCTGTGATTAGGCATGACTTTGGGGAGAGAGAGTGGGAAGCTGTTGCAAGAATACTTGTTAAGGGATGGGTTGATCTTAGGTATTTTCCCATTTCACTGTCCCCAGTATTCATGGAAACAGCACTGTTTGGATCTAGTCATGCTGACACAAAATCAGCATTCCTGCAGTACATTCCTGAGAGTGAGAGAAACATCTTGGAAGCTGCACTGCAGGAATTCCCCTCTGACAATGAGGAACTTGTTGAAATATTGGGGGAATATGACTGCAAGAAATTGCCATCAGAAACCAACCTTTCCCACATCATTTCTGAAATGGGGCACAAAGAGATCATTCAGAAGCCAAGATTCATAGCTGATTGCATGCAGCCAGTGCTGAAATCACTTCATGGTAGCCTGACCAAATCTGAATTTCTCAATCTCTATGAGGAAATGCAGCCTTCACCCAAGAAGGTTATTGCTATGTTGCAGTTTCCTCCAGAATGTACAGCAAATGAACAAACTGTTGGAACATATCTCAAGAGATATGTGAGATCCCTTAACGAGCACATGCTGAAGAGATTTTTGCGGTTTTGTACAGGGTCCGATGTCCTTTCAGTGAATGTCATCAACGTGATATTTACTCAGCTGACCGGTTTTGAAAGAAGGCCAATTGGTCATACATGCGGAAATGTGTTGGAGGTGCCCTCAACATACAAAAGTTTTGTTGATTTGCGACATGAATTTAATGAAATCTTACAAAGTGGAGTGTGGGTGATGGATGTTATCTAGATTGCCAAGCTTACCTATCAAGGACGTTACAAGAAAGATGGCATTTTTTTACTTGTTTATTTTTATACAGCATTTAAATAATATATATTTGTCATGTAGACTGTATGTTGATAAAGAGACTACTATTTTTCACACAGTGTTCAAGTTTGTGCATGCTTGTAATAGTTGCTTATTGTTCATGTTACATGTATAACCTAAAATGTATAAAGGGCTGATTTAATTTGCACCCATAGGAAGTTTCATATTTCCTTCTTTGTTTCTGTTGCACACACAAAAGCAATGATCTCAGATGAACAGCTCAGTTAAGGAGCAGTCTTATTTTGAATGCATGGGTGGGAAAAACCGAACACGTGTGAGCATGATTACAAATAAGTGATAAATGGATTGAATTTCATCTTGACAATCTGAAATTCTTACCATTACAAATCTGTGATTTAAAAAATGTCTTTCAATTGGACGATCTCAAAATTCCCACAAATGGAAATGTCTTCTTTTAAAGACTTTCTTTTTGCCATTAACCTGTATCTACCTACTGGTGCTTTGTTAACTACATGCATCACATACAATTAGGAAAGGGAGACCACCCTCTTTCTAGCCCCAAATAGTGATTTTCGTTTTTGGAAAATGTCTTAATGACTCTAATTGTATGCTAATCAACAGATAACCAGATAACTATTGGCATTCAAACTATTTAGGTCCATGTGAAAAGAGGAAAGTATGTAAGCCTATATGTGCTATTGATAATCTTTGTTTTTCCAAATTTGTGTGGTGTTAATTAAAAAAAGTGTTACTACATGTTTTTTATATATATATAAAAGCAAACATACTTATTTCCACTTAATTTGATTTTAAAATTTTACGGCATGATTAGCAAAGTTTGGATGACCAAATCTGTGTTTTTTTGTAAATCACACTTTTAATCATCACATTAGCTCAACCAAGGGTGTGCCTATTTATGTTTTTGTCATCGAACAAACTTGTTTGTAAAAAAATAGGCAATATTAAAGGTTTGCATTTCAATCTAAAATTACAATAAGCTCCATATCTTACATAGACAATGTTGGTTTTACAAGAGACCTTTCAGCCCAATTTATGACTTTGTAACGTAAATGGTGTGGTATAATTTAATGCCAAACTTTTTGAAGTACCATTCATTACAATCAGGTTGCATAAGTTTAAACCATCTTTTATAGGAGATTCACAAAAGGGCAGTGTAATTAAATTCTCCAAGACTTTTGTATACAAATCATGATTCATAATTGGTGCAGTAATGTGCAAATGATGTACAATGATGTGTTCAAATCTCGTTTATTTCTCCATCATAAACAAAATGCAGAAATATAATTAGATAATCTCCAAGATGTTTACTCAATTTTTAAGGATTAAAAGGAAAATTGCCAAAAAAAAACTTTCATAAAATTGAGCTTGAATTGGATTATTATAACTGTTGACAAATATTATGCATAAAAAATGAAACACTTAAATACAACAAGATTAAAATCATAGTTCTTATTAATAACAGCTGCCAATTTGTTGGACAACCTCATAGCTGGTACACTTTAAAAATGACCCTTGTTGATTTAGTACGAAATGAAACGGACTTTGAAAGTAAGATTGCTCACATTTTTAGTTTAATGGCCCATGTATTATGATTAAAAATTATTTTTTATCTGCATGTCAAATTACATGTATGTTGATCAAAATCCTGAGAATTGTGTTAAATTTTCCAGTTATACCTCCTAATGTTTCAAAGTGTTGCATGTTAACAATAAAGAGCGTTATCTTGAGTACATCTCGGTATCTCTCTGGGTTTTTTTAGTTTATTTATCTGTTCACCCTTGAAGTTGGACCCTATACCCTACTTTCCCACGAAGTTTGTGCTGTAGAAGAGGACAAACCGAAAGTGAAGAATTGAAATCACATGTCTCTTAATTAAATCATGTTTGCTGCAGGAAAACATAAGTTACAGATTTCAAGGCAACCAGGGATTAATTGTTATATAATTACTGGAAGACACAGTTTTGGGACACATAGGTGGCCTACAGGTCTATCTCATCTAGAATCATCCTTCTGAGACTATTGTACAAGTTTATTCCTTCTTCCACTGTACTTGGCACAGACATCAGTCGTTCTTCCATCATGATTGAACAAAGGTCGAACACATCTTTGTCGCATGGGTATCGGCCTTTAAAGATGCACTCACTGCTGCATACATCAATTTCATCTTGTTGCACCTCTACCAGGAAGTTCTCTGCTCCATAAAGCTGTGGCATGGTATGCATTACAAGAGGGCGACCAAATGGGCCATGGCGGTTTCTGGAGGGAGCGATGCGATGGGCGTTCCATTCCTTTACAACAGTGTCTAGTTCGCCCTGTGATGTGCGAAATTGAAATAACAAACAATTAGACTTAAAGATTGATTGAAACAACTTCATACAGCGGGATATCCTTTAATGTGCACGAATCATACTTTATTAGACCAGCTAATTAACAGCTTACCTGGATCATATTCAAAAAGCAAAACTGCAGCAGTGACTTATCCAGATGATCCCCACTGAAGTGGCCTTCTTCTTTTATTTGGGCGAAGAGGTCCATCCAAAACTGAGTGAAGTGTTTTCTAAGCATGCCCCACCAACACTCAATTCTTTGATTATTTTGACTGGTTCCTTGCATGAAACTCTTGTCTTTAGCAAATGCGTCATCCTGACTCCTTCGAAGAAACTGCTGCATCTGTCGGATGTGTGTGTTTTCTGTTCCATGATCAGCTCTAATGATTCTTGGGCATCCCATCTGAGAACGAACCGTGTTCATGTAATATCCCGCAATGACAGCAGGGTCACTACTTGTTGTATATGCGTCAAGCCACAAAACACGCCTAGAGAAACCATCAATACATCCATTAATGCAGATCCCGTAAGGTTTCAGTTTATCATACGAGTCAACATGCCACATATAATTTGGTCCTCGAACTTGATACAGCCGTCTTTGCAACTTTTTTCTTGCCCTTATTTCGACTCCATCTGGATCCAAAATTCCAAGCAACAGGCGGACCGTTTCTTTATCTGTGTTGATGCCATTTTGGATGCACTTTAGATGCATCCATCGGTAGCCGTGTAGGTTTCCAGACTGTTGCAGCTCTTGTTGCAGAAAGCAGGCAATATCTATCACGTCTGTGTGATATTTTCGACGAAACAGACCCAGGTTTCTCAATTTTCGACTCAGTGTTCGCTTACTTATTAATATATTGTGATTAAATAGGAGGATGTTCAGAATTTCCTCGTAAGTTAAACCAAGATGGAAGTAGCATCGAATGAAACGCTCGCACTCCTGCGCCATACTTGCCGAGTAATGACTCAGAACGTATGAGTAATCCGTAATAACGAATTAAATAATCCGTAATAACGAATTAAATAATCCGTAATAACGAATTAATAATCCGTAATAACGAATTAATAATCCGTAATAACGAATTAATAATCCGTAATAACGAATTAATAATCCGTAATAACGAATTAAGTAATCCGTTATAACGAATTAGTAATCCGTAATAACGAATTAAATAATCCGTAATAACGAATTAATAATCCGTAATAACGAATTAAATAATCCGTTATAACGAATTAATAATCCGTAATAACGAATTAATAATCCGTAATAACGAATTAAGTAATCCGTTATAACGAATTAGTAATCCGTAATAACGAATTAAATAATCCGTAATAACGAATTAATAATCCGTAATAACGAATTAGTAATCCGTAATAACGAATTAATAATCCGTAATAACGAATTAAGTAATCCGTTATAACGAATTAGTAATCCGTAATAACGAATTAAATAATCCGTAATAACGAATTAATAATCCGTAATAACGAATTAAATAATCCGTTATAACGAATTAATAATCCGTAATAACGAATTAATAATCCGTAATAACGAATTAAGTAATCCGTTATAACGAATTAGTAATCCGTAATAACGAATTAAATAATCCGTAATAACGAATTAATAATCCGTAATAACGAATTAGTAATCCGTAATAACGAATTAATAATCCGTAATAACGAATTAAATAATCCGCATTATATATACTTGCAGTGGCGCTAATGGGCTTTCGTAGATTTTGCTACAGATTTTGATCGAGATTATCTTTTCGTCCAGGACACAAATTTCCATCCACAAAATGTAGGTGTGTTTAACGCAAAAAATAACGGGCAATTTTGAGTCAACCTTCACACTCGGTTTCCACAAGATGACTGAAGAAATATCTGTTGCATTAACTTAGAATGTATTCCGGGATCCCTTTGCAAGTTTTCCAACAACTTTGAGGCAATTTAGATTTTTTGTTTTTTCCTCAATAAAAAAATACAAGAGGTTAGGCCAAAAAAAAAAGTCTCCGGTTTCTGGTATGGAGCTTGCCCAAAAAGTGGTGCGGCGGCGCGGCTTTTTTTTTTTTTACCTGATTTTTTGGGTTCAAATGTCGGCTGATAACTGCAAATGGTGCCCGAGAGAGGCCACATAAAGCTTATTCTCGACCATAACCCAATCTAAAAACACGTTAAAATTGTGCAGCAGCAGGATTCAAGTCAAACCAGTGAGTTTGGCGGTTTTGAGACATCATGTTTCATAAAACAAAAAAAATTCATTTTGCCGACGCGCATGGCTACGGCGACGCGCGCATACCAGAAACCGGAGACTTTTTTTTGGGCCTTAGCCTCATATTTTTAATTCAATTTGGCAAACAACAAAAACTTTTCTCCAAAACAATTATGCAAACATTCCTTGGAAAGTAGGAGAAGCTTCGATCAACATTCATCGACCCATTTTGTTTTTTAAATATCAACCACATATAACCTTATATGGTAAGGAATTATTTTGTTTCCCCTTCTTTTCTTGCGCAGTTTTATCAAACGAAAAGCAACGATTTCTGATTTCGCAATCTACCTGAAACGAAAGCTGGACATTGTTCGTTGTGTAATTTCCTGAACGACATAGACACATTGGTTGCGCAATGCATTCCAAACGACGCGGATACGTCTTGAGACCATGATTATGTGCACCAAGTATAAAGCATGTTATCTTCTAGAAATAAAATCAAAAATATTTTGAGTGTTATTTTTAATAAGAATGTCTTTTATTTCAAGTCACTACCACTATAGCTATAGTACGCGTGTATGTATACATGCAATTTGGAACAGTGCCCTCAATAGTCAGGTAGCGTCTAAGCCCAACCCCCTCCACCCCAGCTTTTCAAACTTTCCAAGTTGGTGGCTCCGCAAATATGAACAAGAGATTGCCTCTGCTGGTCAAGAGGCCTAACTGTAGCCTTTCCACAAGGTCATCCTGACAAGCGCCGGCAGTTAACCGAGGGACGAAACAGCGAGGCGTTTTGAACGGCGACTTGACACACGTCGAGTGAGCTACAAGCGAGGTTTTCCAAATCCTAGCTTCATTCCAATACCGGATCCAGCTCTATTGCCAAGCCGCATGCCCAAAACCGGTTTACGGAACGAAGCCGGAGTTTGAGAAACGCCGGTATGTCTCATGACCTCGATGACTTTCGGTCGTTTTGTAAACATAGGCTTCGTGCCCGGCTTCGGAACAAGGCCATGTAAGGCCCCTAATCAGACAAGTGGCTTTGTCATTTACTTGCATGGTATGGTCCCACTGGTATGGGGGAGGGGAGGGGGAAGGGGGGAATGTGGTCGTTCAACTATCCCACCCCAACCCCATCGTCGCTACGTCATTGCTTCAGAGATTATTATAAATCGAGGTGGTTCGCAATACAGAATGGCAAACTCTGGTGTGATTTGTCCGGATATCACCAGGGCTAGTTCAGGGTGAATCGTGCGCTTTATGCGGAGGCCACAAACTAGCAAATGTAGGAAGTCTGGTCGTTCCATACAAGCCTTTCTCGTTTAAATCACTTAACATGCTTTATTGGAACTGTGTCATTATTTTAGGTAGTGAGCGTTTGCTTTTTAGGTCCATCATCACCGGTCATACATTCTAACATTTCTGGAAATGATTATTCGAACTGGGAGATATTCAAGTGTAAAAACCTTTTCCACATTTAGAAGGCCACGATTATACACGGGCCGTATATGATGCGTAAAGTTCATGGAAGTTTATTTAACTGTATTTTATTTCCTCAAAGTCCCAATCAATGAGCAAAGCCTACCTCAGGGGCATAACTACGGGGACACGGGGCATATACCCCCACCCCCTGTGGAAGCCGGCCCCAGCCCTCCCCCGCCCCATTTTGAAAACCTGAATTAAAACATTCACTGTAAGCTGTAATAATACGTTTATTTTGCATTTAGTGCAGCCTTTGAAAAAAAAACACGCACCTCAGGTGCCCTACCCCAAGTTAAACCCAAGTTTCTCCGCTGGCTTGAGTACGATTTAATTCCTCATAATCCCGAATATATCCACACAATTTAATAGACTGAAGCGCCAACTGTACATTGAATGAATCACGGCCGGTGTATACGTCACTTGTCTATCCACCAATCACAGTTTGTCGGTGACAAGTTGGTGACGACAAGTCGGTGACCACAAGTGAGTGGTCTGTGACTGACAGATTGTGTGTGTCAATCATAAATTCCATATTTGGATGTGTCACCGACATCCATACAATATCCACCAATAAGAAGCGGCCATTTCAATCTCGGTGACTAGTTTTTATGGTGACTATATAGCCTCAACGACATTAACATTGCTTTCATATCATTAATATGAAGCGAGTCGGTGATGTGTGATTGACAGCGCACAGGAGCCATGCAATCACAATCCAGGTCCGAGTTTTTAGTCACTGCTCAGGAAATCGATGGCACTATTTAAGAAAATGTGGGGCCGTCCACCCTTCACATCAACCACAGGTCACCTTCGGACGACAACCAGAGAGAGAACTGACTGCAAGAACAAGATTTTGCTCGGTGAGTGTTTGAAACAATCATTTTTCCTCTGAAGAAATTTGTTGATTTTGCACAATGTGTTTGAATCAATGCGGGATTCAGATTTTGTTGAATGTTGCTGATTCAATGATTCTCCAAACAGCGAGCGCGGTGGTAGGCTTGATATTTTCCCGTCTTTGTGTGCTTGTGAAAATGTGGTAGCTTGAGGACTGAAAAAAAAACCCAAGATTTTTATGAACAAATTGTTCTTTTTTATTTCACTATGACTCTAATACACGTCTGCTAACAGCAAAACCAGCACGCTAATTCCGATCCAGAAGTTGTGCCTTTTCCCAACGACCACTTTGGAGTTGATAAAGTATTGCGATAATTTACAAATGTGTTTGAAATTAACTTGTTCAGACGGACTTTGTTTGTGCATAACATTCACTAAGCCCGTCTGAAAGAGTTAATTTCAAACACTTTTGTAAATTATCGAGCTATTTTATTTCAGCTCTTATAATGTAAACAGTTGGTGCGGATGCAGACCACGGTTTTGCGAGTTCAAATTTCAAGGCAATAAAAAATGAGGAATTCCTGTCTGGCAATATTTCCGCTACTACTTCCATTGTGCACTCTCAAAAACAAATTGTCCAAATACTTACTGGTTTCTTTACTTCTTGAACAAAAATCATTTGGATTCTTGTCGATATGGATAATACACTACGAAGTCACATTTATGGACTTTTTTAAATTTAGGTTCGACTGTTAGGTTGGACTGTTTTCTGACCGCAGTTTTTCGCAAGTATAAAACATCAAGTTCCCTGCTGTGATTCAGAACAGTAAAGATGTATTGATCATTCAAAATAATATTTCAGAGGAACTACAAAAAACAAGGCTCGCAAAACCTGGACTCTTTATAACCTGGCCAATATTTTTGGCACGATCAAGCACACTCTTACTTTTTGCCTCCCTTTTTCCTATTGACTTTATCGTTTAAATTTTCAAACATGAAATCCTAGTGCAATGTACTCACATTATTTCCGGATATCACTCAAACTCAATCAGAATGAAAAGTTATGCGGAATTTGGTCACGGAAGAACGTATACAGGTATCCGGACATCTCAAAATGCCGGTCTTATTTGTGTTATTATTTGTGGGTATTCTCAGTGCCTTTGAACTTTGTTGTTCAACTGGCATTTTGCTATAGTTCACAGTGCGCCATTCCGGTCTCATCAAGTTACTTTTAAGCATTGCAGGATAAAAGTGTCACTGGTCAGAATAGACTAGAGGGCGCAAATACAAACGCACTGGATCATGATGATGCACACAGTTTTATACAAGTTCAATAGCTGGATGCATTTTGTAGAATTCATGGATAGATTTAATTTTTGGAGAACGCATTTGAGATAAATAGTCAACCCAAATTACATTTTCACTGTACAGACATTTTTTTGGCC